GTGAAAGATTACACACCAATTGCAAATTTTGACTCAGGAGCTCAGGCAGAAGGGTTAAAATTGTTCAGGGACGCAGGGCTTAAAGGGTTAAGTTGGTGAATGCTGCCATAATCCTTGCGTTCAGTTCCTCTTTGGTGTTATAAAGTGTTTTGTTGGTCTATCGTTCAACTGAGACCCACACGTAATAATCAAGGGGTGTTGCGGTCAGGTGGCAAGATGTAAGGGGTGATGTGGTTGCCAAAATTGTCTTTCAGCCATGACTGGGTTTTCCTGTTTGTGTTGCATGGGGCAGAGTTTCGTTGCCAGACATAAGGTCAGGCAGCAGTCAACCTCATGTACCATGGCGGCACTACATCCTTACTCAATATCAGAAAGAGAGAGAGAGAGAAAGAAAGAGAGAGAGAGAAAGAAAGAGAGAAAGAGAGAGAGAAAGAGAGAGAGAGAAAGAGAGAGAGAAAGAAAGAGAGAAAGAGAGAGAGAAAGAAAGAGAGAGAGAAAGAAAGAGAGAAAGAGAGAGAGAAAGAGAGAGAGAAAGAGAGAGAGAAAGAAAGAGAGAAAGAGAGAGAGAAAGAAAGAGGGAGAAAGAGAAAGAGATAGAGAGAAAGAGAGAGAAAGAAAGAGAGAGAGAGAAAGAAAGAAAGAGAGAGAAAAAGAGAGAGAAAGAGAGAGAGAAAGAAAGAGAGAGAGAGAAAGAAAGAAAGAGAGAGAGAGAAAGAGAGAGAGAAAGAAAGAGAGAGAAAGAGAGAGAGAAAGAAAGAGAGAAAGAGGGAGAAAGAGAAAGGGATAGAGAGAAAGAGAGAGAAAGAGAGAGAGAAAGAAAGAGAGAGAGAGAAAGAAAGAAAGAGAGAGAGAAAAAGAGAAAGAGAGAGAGAAAGAAAGAGAGAGAGAGATAGAAAAGAGAGAGAGAAAGAGAGAGAGACAGAAAGAGAGAGAGAAAGAGAGAAAGAGAGAGCGTATGTAAATATAAAAACGCAATGAGTCTGAGGCCCTGTGGGAACATGAATGGAGGCATAACGTCGCTATCACAAATGATCCCTTCGACCACCTTCCTAATCAACATTAGACTCATACAACTCTTTCCAAATCCTCTGCACTGTCTTCAGATTGACACCCAAACACTGAAATGTACATGTGGAGTTTCCGGTGCGAATGCCAAGCAGTGCAGCATGCCGTTTCCAAATTTCTAGGTCAATGAATTGCGTCATGGTGCACTTTTTTCTTGGTTGTAAATTGTAGAGTAATCAACTTCTGCAGTGATTGTTTTTCTAGTATGTTCAAATGTTTATTGTATTTTTCTTATTTGAATTCTTTGACTAGTCAAAAATTGTAACTATTTGTTTTATTGAAAGTAGATACTATGCTTTGAACCAAATAGAGAATTTGAACTGTATTGTTTTAATTGACATGAATATATGACACAATAGGTTGCCCACATAACTGGCTTAGAGCTCACACAATGTCAAGTGGGGCCTAAATGTTTTATCTGCATCTAAAGTGTTGAGTTTTTATGACAACAGTAAAGTTGGCAAAATAAGATCATCAAAGCAGCTACCCACTTTAATGGAAGGAAATGAAATAATAAATAAAGGAGAACTTTTGGAAACTAGTGGCATTTGACCAGATATTAAAGGTTTCTGTTCACAGGCTTATATAAAAGTCAGTTAGAATTGAAAATAGTTCCATGCTGCCCAGTACACTCATTGTAGCTGATCCATAATCTGTCATGACAGAAATAGTTGTCCTAAGTATCACCCACCTCCCCAGACTGTGCAAGTAAATCCCTGAATAAACAAGCAAATATATTGGAAACCAGAATTTTTATTTCTCACTGTGACAAAATCTAGTACAAAGCCATAATGGTGACGTCATTGTGACAATAACATTAGCCATTGTTCTCACATGCCAGTGACATATAATTATCAATGCTCCGGACTAACTTTTTTCACCATTGTCTTGGAATACAAGTTCAATTTTCCAGAAAAAATTTAAACTGTCCCAAAATCAAAATATTTTTTTTTTTAATTTTATCATTATTAATTATTAGTAGCATAATATTGGGATGGGACATTTCATCACCGCCGACTCAACACCGGGTAACATACCACCAGCCTACTTAGTGTGAGAACAACTATAGTGTGCACATCTCTTAGACCAGCTTTGAGTCATAGAGATTTTGAAAGTTTGGATGATTTTCTTAGGCTGTTATAAGTAATACAATATTATTTGGCTGGCTGGTGTTTAATTTTCAAGATTGGATAAATAACCATGCTAAAGAAGCAAATAAAATACTACAAACACAGCTGGAGACGGAGTACTACCTCCAGTATGGAAATTCACTACAGGGGCTGCAAAAAGTGCAAAGAAAACGAGATGCATTTTTCAAGCAATTAATTGGAGGTCATCCCTCTCCCACTAAACTGAAGAATTCTATGAAGACAGATGAAAGAATTTTGCAAAATGCTTCTTCTTTTTCACGACGATCCTCAACTGGATATTTGAGGGTAATTGCATCCAATTTTCAATGAATTTTGAAATTAAGAATAACGTCATGTATTAAAAGAAAGATCCTTACTAAATTGTTTTTTAAAAGGTCGACCAAAATGTTAGAGTTTTCATGTCATTGAGTAGTCCTCACGCTGAGTAGGCTCATGGTGAGTTGTCTTGGAGTTGAGTTGTCATAAAGAAGTCTCGGTGGTGGTGAGTCGGCGGTGTTGAGTCGGCTGGGTTGAGTCGGCATTGTTGAGTCGGCAGTATGGAACCGGCCGTGTTGAGTCGGCGGCGTTAAGTTAGCAGTGATGAGTTGTCATGAAGAGGTATCCGTGGTGTTGAGTCGACGTTGTTGATTCGGCAGTGTTGAGTCGGCGGTGTTGATTCGGCAGGGTTGAGTCGGCAGTATTGAGTCGGCAGTGTGGAGCCGGCCACGTTGAGTCAGCGGCGTTACGTTAGCGGTGATGAGTTGTCCTGCACCCACACTATGAACAATGAGCTGGTTCTGTGAGTGTTGAAAAACACACACACACACACAAATGGGGCGTGCTAGGCTGTCATTTGCTAGCTGACGGGCATACACAGAAATTAGAAATCAACCATTCTTCTTTTTCTATGTGCCGCGTCCCTTCAGGACAGAAGTGATCATAGCTCTCTACATCTTCCTATGCTTTGTGTCTCTTAGTCGTTTTTCGCACATTGCTAAGGCTCCCGCCACCAGTACCACCATTCATTCATACAAATTCGTCAGTTAAGGGGCTCGCTGCCTTCCCACTTTTCTCCTTCAATATTCTTCTTCTTTATGTGTTCAGGTGTCTTCTCGTGAGTAGAAGTGTTCTTTTTGTTGCCATTTTCTTTATGATTCCGTCCATGCAAGTTAACTTTACCACACTGCAGGCGATAAGAGTGGCCGCAGAATTCTCTCCCTTTGATACTCTAGCGGTTACTATTATGCATCCCTGACTAATTTTATGGATGCAACTGGAGACCATCGATATAACTGTTACCCTTTCTGAAGTCGAATTATTTTGTTTATTTATAAACAACGAAATAATATCTTTATTCGTCAACGAGAAAAATAAATACGTGTCAGGTGAAAGAAATCGCACAGAAATGATAGTGTCTTCTCCTATGTATAACACGAGGAAAGACGTCATTTTTTTTTATGAAAAGAAAGCCTTCTTAGTGATTTTGTTTCGTTTTGCACTCACAAAATTCCACAAGGAGAAATAAAAGTTAAATTTACGTTGAATTATTTTATGTATTTTTTAATGTATTTATTTTTTATTGCGAGTTTCAATTGTTTTTTTTTCCAACGTCAAAACAATCAATTTAAAACAAGCGACACACCAGTATTTATTACATCTGAGTACTTGCTACCAAAAGTTGTTTGCGGTGGACCCGCTCAAAAAATACAATATTCCTTCTGCTGAATTAGTGTCATACATTGATATGATATCGTGGCTTAAGACACCTAATCCTCAATTCCCGGTCTTAACGTAGAATTATCTCCCTTTTATAATCTAGAGGCTACTATCATCCATGCCTGACTAATTTTATGGATGCTATTGGTAACCATCGATATAATTGTTACCCTTTCTGAAGATGAATTGTTTGTCTATTCATAAACAACGAAATAATATTTTTATTCATCAACGAGAAAAATAAATACGAGTGAAGTGAAAGAAAAAGCAAACAAATGTTCGTGTGTTCTCGTATGTAAACACGTCACTTTTTTGACGAAATGAAAGCCTTCTTAGCGATTTTGCTTCTTATTGCACCCCCAGAACTCCCCCAACGAATAATAAAAGTTAAATTTACGTTGAATTATTTATGTATGTTTTTAATATATTTGTTTTTTATTTCGCGGTTCTTTTTATTTCGCATTTCAATTTTTATATTTTCAACGTCAAAACATGAATGTAAAACGTAATGCATTTCATCAAGATATTTGTTCATTCCTTCTTTTATTAGTGTACAAAAGTTAACATCTATGCGCACAATACAAAGAAAGTTATAACAATTAGGTGTTCATGTTTTTGCACCCTCAAAGAAAAAAATGGAGGGGGAACAATTCTAGAAAGAAATTAACGCGGCAAAGGTTAATATAATAAAATAACGTGTGGCTGTTGGTCGCTTAAAAGGTGAAGTTGCCTGTCGTCATTCAGTGTTGATTCCTATATTCACACTTTTTATCTATCTATCTATCTATCTATCTATCTATCTATCTATCTATCCCAGTCTGTTCCTATCTATCTATCTATCTATCTATCTATCTATTTGAGGCACAGAGTAGTAATGGATAGCAGCTCGGATTGAAGAATTTGAATTCCAGTCGGATCCATTACATTATGAACAAATACTATTAACCTTCTTCTTCGCCACCCGCTATGGGTAAAATAGCAGGGCATACTGGTTTCTATAGAAGAAACTCTGAATTCAAAACAACCCTGGACATTGTTGGGCTTCGTAAGGCTATCTTGCCCATTTCTACTGCGGATGTAATTCATGTGATGGCTCTACGACGGGATTCACGATCGATCGCACGATCTATCTATATCTATCTATCTATCTATCTATCTATCTATCTATCTATCTATCTATCTATCACAATTCCTTTCTCTCACAGTTTCGTCTATTTATCCCGCTACCTACCTACATATCCATTCTAGTCTGTTTTATCTATCTATCTATCTATCTAGCTAGCTAGCTAGCTAGCTAGGTAGCTCAGCCTGTTCTGTCTACGTATCTATCTATCGAGGCTGGCAGGACCTAACTAGTTAGCTTATGTGGCTGAGTTGATATAAAATAAGTATTTAGAATAATGATTTTCTAGACTCAACTTATTTGGAAGACTGGCGCAGCACAATCTTCTCCGTTTCATTTTGAACTTTTGTGTAATAAGTAAATATCGATACGATATTGTTCCCTCCAAAAGTCACCATGCACACTTAGGCTTACAATTCGTTGATATGTTGGCATTTGAATCCAACAGCGTATTAACGATTGATAATCCTCCCAAAATCTTCATCTCTGAAACATGCCGATATTTCTCATTATTATTATTATTATTATTATTATTATTATTTATTTATTTATTTATTTATTTATATACTTATTTATTTTTACTTATTTGGCGAGTTTCAATAAATTAACGGTTTAGAAAGGAGTTGCCAGTCAGTGGCTAATATTAACGGTTCGGGATTAAGATAATCTCTCATAGATCAACGTAATTAAAAGTATATTAACTGTAAGATTTAGCTTCAGAAGCCGATGTTCGTTGTGTAACAGTAGAGCCTGAACTTTGCCCCAATATCTCATATATATATATATATATATATATATATATATATATATATATAGCCTTGTTACAGATAACAGTATAAGCAACGAACCAGGACAATGGCGTCGGACGTAAAAAATTATTGTATCTGTGAATTCCCCCATTCACAAAACACGTACACACTAATGTTCAGCGACGCTTACTGAAAGTTTTCAGAGACCAAACAGTGGATGTTATCACGGTTAGGCAATGGCTAAAGCATTTCAGTAGTAGAAACAGTATGTCTATTGTTAAAAATGGTTAGATATATCCGTAACAGGATCTGTCTATATTTCTGAGATGAGGTAATATGTACACTATTTACCTTATTCGGACTACTGTCTTCATCTTCGTTGCCATATTCATCACAACGTTTCGGCCGTTGTACGCTCCGGCCTTCTTCAGGTCGTTGGACCGTAACAGCTTATTCTCGCGTACTTCTCGCTTGTGGAAATCTCTCCCTGCTTCTTGTTTCCCTGTCAACTTTCAAACATGCAATACAAATCGTTATCTTCCGTTATTTTTTATTCTTGTTCTTTTATTGTTCTCTCTTCTTAATATTTATTCTTGTGAATAAATTTAGTATTACAATATCTACACACATTTTTTTTCCTTTCCTGAAATGTGTATAGATCTTTTCGTGGATATATATATATATATATATATATATATATATATATATATATATATTGTACGTTGGCTTGAAAAAGTAGTAATTCTTTCAGGAAAGGTGAGATTGGTAAAACTTTTACTGAAGGAATTCCTACTTTCCAAAAAGCCAACATACACCAACATTAAATATATTGAAAATCAAAAGAAAACGTTTAAATCCGTAAATTCAGCCTTTGAAGATGCATATATATATATATATATATATATATATATATATATATATATAGGCGACAGGCTGTTGCATGCTACAGGCAATCGTAAAGCCGTTGCTCTAGCATGAAACAGCCTGTCGCCTCTGAATGTTGACTTCAATGTTCATTTCATATTTACACACGCTCTATCTCTGATATTGAGCACTTTATCCCATAAATATAACACACTTTAACAGTATATTTATTCATATATATATATATATATATATATATATATATATATAGCGATTTTCCAAGCGTAGCTCAGATGTGGCACAAGGCCGAAAGTAGTGGGCCACCCAGTGAGGATGGAACTCACTACGCAGTCGTAATTGTTCTAGCGAGACAAGCTTGCTTGCTAACCATTACACCGCCTCAAGGTGCCCTTATATATATATATATATATATATATATATATATATATATATATATATATATATATATATATATATATATATATATATATATATATATATATATATATTTTGTATTTCAGAAATCCCTCTTTTATACGTTTCGTTAAAGACGCCTGACAATGTCTGCGATTAAGCTTTTTATTTAATTCTTCTTGTCTTCATACAAGTGTTTGGTTTTCTGGGCACAAATTGTGTAAAAACGTTCAAAAATTCTGCAGATCCGAACGATTTTGATTATTCATTTACCCATTATCAAGGCTGATTTTATTTTTATATTTTTAACTAAATATATATTTTTTTTTTATGCATGTGTCTAAAGTTATAGAAATGTTTTAATTTCTGAACACGGTCAGCACGTTGTGGCCGTGTCCACAGTAAAAGATACTAAGTGTTGACTTTTTCTTTATTTTATTATCATTAAAATCAACACCCAAATGCGACTCTCTGTTTCATGCTAAAAGCAATACTAAGGCCACTTGGCATGAAACTGACTATCGCGTCTGAGTGTTGACTTCAATCTCTACTTTGATATATATATATATATATATATATATATATATATATATATATATATATATATGTGTGTGTGTGTGTGTGTGTGTGTGTTTATATGTGTGTGTGAATTGAGTTCAAATACAGATCAAATATGGATCGGAATCCAACAGAATGATATGATATTTTACCTTGGTTGTCAGTCAGTCTACGAGAAGGAAAACTCTGAATTCAAAATAGCAGAGAAGACAACATGAAGCTTCTTTCCCAAGAAGTCATATGAATTCATCGATGATAAAGAAATAAAAATCCACCAAAAACTATAATAACCTACGTATTGGCAATATTAAAACAATATTCTTGATAAACAAACACAACTTTGCTTAATTGAAACGGGTTTTTAATTCCCTCTACAAAATATTATTTGCAGATAGATTAATGGATATTGTTGTGTGCTGTGTTAAATCACGACATTCGAGGCAAGATTTATTTACCAGATGAGCCAGGCTACGTACCCCTGACGTTATTTGGAGATGTACCCAGATTAAGGCTTAATCTTATTAGCAATCCGTTGTTCTAATCAATAGGCAGGTCAGCTGCTAACCTGCTTCGGTTGGGCTTTCGAAGTGCTTCAAATAATGACGAAGCCCAGAGGTTCATTTACTGTGAGGAAAATGAGTGAGTTGAGAAAGTTGAAAGATGATCAGTCCTAAAATGAGGAACCAAGGACAAAAAAGAAATGTAAACGCTATCTCCACCTGCGGCAGACTGCACAAATCTGGTGACTTATGAATTTCTGTCATTGTGCCTCTCCTTGTTTTTTTCTTGGGTCTAACATTTCCACGATTATTCAGGGCTGCTCATGGAAGGATGTTTTTTATCGAGTTACCATCTCTAGATAGTTTACCAAGGACGAAGAGCTAGTATCAGTCCATTAGTAATTCACTCAGTTGTTGTTCTAATAGACTGGCTACCACTCAAAGCTAGATACCCGATTTGCAATTCAACACAATTTTAGAAAGAAGTTAACATATTCCTTCAGTTCTTAGGTAATCATGGCTTTCTACAGATTCCTGTTTCCTTATTATCTGTAAATTGCGATGTATTCTTGCAATCTGTCTTGCTATTTAACCCATAGCTGAGGAGATAAGAGATAGATTCATACCGTTTCAAGTAAATTTGTTCTCACGCTAAAAAGTTCTACGTAAGTTTAAGAATTCATAATTCTGCTAGATTGGTTGACAAACGAAGCTGAAAACACCGGTCTGCATTACTATTTAATCCGTAGCGATGGAGACGAGATATATCCATATCTTTCGAGTAGTTATACCTGCGGCATCTATTCGAGTTTAAGAATTCAGAGTTTTCCTTCGTCAAGACCGGTTACATCAAGGCCGAAAAGCCTAATCTTAACCTAAAGCTATGGGGATAAGAGAATGGAATCATGTTTTTCACAAGCGTATTTATGGCGGCTTGGAGAAGTAATAGCGACTCTGATTGAGGAGTCGGAGAGCCGAGTTCGAATTCCAGTCGAATTCATTACATTCATTTACGTGACAATACTCTAAGAAAAGGTATGAATTCCGTATTCCCCCTTTAAGCTATGGGTCCTATAGCCTAGGTTGAAGGAAAATTCTGAATTCAAAACAAGCCTGGAGTGGGTTGAGATCCGACATGCTATCTTGGTCAAGAAATGCCATTGTGTATGCCATGTCCGTATGTATCTAATGGGTTACGGGTCTTGTAATCGTGATCAAGGGTATGTATGCGAAAGTGATGGTATCGAACTCGGTCGGAATTTGAAATTGGCTCTTCAATTTCTCTTTCTGGTCTGATAACCGTTGCATCTCCTTCACAAGAACAAAGAAGACGACATCAAAAATATATGTGACTATAAGACGGGCCATTAATTGGCTTGGGATAATTTTAGTACAACATCCTTTTTTCAGAGTAAAATTTCTTCATACATATCAGTTTTATTTATTTATTTATTTATTTTGCTATATCATTTCAAGGCATAGGTGATCATGACTATCCACAGCTTCCTTTTACTTTATTATTTGTAAAATGTCAATCATTCTCGGGAAGTGGTTACCAGTTTCATTCTCCAGCACTTGGAATTTAAGGTTTTTCATCACTTAAACTGGTTACTACCCAAGGCTAGAAAGCTCAGTCGACCCTGCTATTTTACTGAACCCACCACGCCAATAATGATTCCTCTGACGATATCCAATTATACGACCGGCATATAGCACTAAATCATTATTATTTGCCCACCCGAAAAAACATTCTTACAATCTAAATAATATTTTATAGTTTTAAATAACCTGCAAAAGGTTGATAAACCGTAGAAAATGAATCAGTAGCACCAATTTCCCGCCTATTTTTAATCAGTACCTCCATTAAGAAACTGTTTCTAGGGATTGTGTAAGCATTATCTTTTTTTTTTCCTTTCTTTTCCTTACATTCACTTCCGTACGTCCGTCCGTACGTACGTTCTTTCTTTCTTTCTTTCTTTCTTTCAATCTCTTTCTTTCTTTCTTTCTTTCTTTCAATCTCTTTCTTTCTTTCTTTCTTTCTTTCTTTCTTTCTTTCTTTCTTTCTTTCTTTCTTTGTTTCTTTCTTTGTTTCTTTCCTCCTTTCTTGCCAGATCTTTTATTTTTCACGATTTCTTTTTCTTTCTTTCTTTCTTTCTTTCTTTCTTTCTTTGTTTCTTTCCTCCTTTCTTGCCAGATCTTTTATTTTTCACGATTTCTTTTTCTTTCTTTCTTTCTTTCTTTCTTTCTTTCTTTCTTTCTTTTCCAAATCTTTTATTTTTCTCGATTTCTTTTTCTTTCTCTTTTTCTTTCTTTCTTTCTTTCTTTCTTTCTTTCTTTCTTTCTTTCTTTCTTTCGTTCTTTCTTTCTTTCTTTCTTGCCCGCTCTTTTTTCTTCCTTTTATAGAACTTATCTATTTATTTATTTCGTTCTAGCCTAATCTTTCTTTCTTTTTTTCTTTTTTCTTTCCGATCTTCCTTTTCTCTTTATTTTTCCTTTTTTCTTTCTTTCTTTCTTTCTTTCTTTCTTTCTTTTTCACGCCAGTTGATCGCTTTTTTCCTTTCTTTTAATTACGTGGGTATTTATTATATCCAGTCAACAAAAGAGGCTGGTTGGCGGTCTCTCTTTCAAAAACCAAGCAAGTCTCGTTATAAGCATAATGCACAACGACGAGAACACCAGGAAATACACTGGAAGTCTCACTTGAAGCGAGACCGTAATAACAAATATAGATTATTTTGGTCAACGCAAACGCGACTTCACTTCTCACGTAGATATCCAAACGACCAGCGTCAGCATGACGTAAATGCAAAAATAAAATTTAATATACATGACATTTTTTTTCTGTCAAATACAATGTTTATTTTCGACGGTGATTTATACGGTTGCCAAAATCCTTGAATTTATCTATCTTAAAAGTGCCACAGCACAAAATATACTTAAATGAAGAGGGAATGTAACTTTTGCGTTTTAGATGGAAAGTATTTGTCATAAAAATGCTGTTGATTTTTTATTTTTTTTGTATATAAAACTGCATCTTTCCGAAAATTTCAGCAAATTGTTTAAATTAAAAAGTAGTATGCAAGTTGACTTACTGCTGGTCAGATGAATTTCATTATCAGCAATATACTCCAGTCATTATTGGTGTTAATGAGTGGGTAACAGTGATAAGACCTCCGCCCCTCCAAAAAAAAAAAAAAAAAAACACACACACACACAGATCCGTGGACGCATATCCTCAAGCAATTAGGGATTCTTGAATAATTGTATATTGTGTAGCAGTTGGAAATGAGCATATCCTCTGTCACTGATATTATATTTTTTTTTTTTTTTTTGAGACTAGATAGATAGATCCTCGACTCTAGAGTTTCGTAGATGAACATTTTTTAATTGTTCCGTCCACTCGTCAGGAGATTTCAGGAACTGACTATCATTTTATAATTTTTCGTTATTTTAATGCTAAGTTTGATATAATTAATTCATACACTATTTGGACTGTGTTTATTATTGGTGTTCATTTTTCACTTTTTGTGTTAGTGTGTGCGTGTGTGTGTGTCAGATATGACCGTTATTTCTCTTTTTCTTCATTTTCTGGTCTCCTCCACACACACACACACACACACACACACACACACACTCTCTCTCTCTCTCTCTCTCTCTCTTCTTTTTGCTTCTTTTTCCTCTTTCGATGTAACAATGTTATTTAGAATATTACAGACACAACTTTTTTATTTAAGGGAAATTCGCGTTCTCAAATATTCTGGGATTTTCTTAATTTAAGGTATATTCCGTTTTTATTTATTTCTTGCTTAAATAATTTTCATTTTTACCAAAATTTAAATATTAGGGCATTAATTATGGCAAACTAGGTATATAACTGTATTTTTCTTGTTATTTAATATATATATATATATATATATATATATATATTAAATATCAAGAATAATACAGTTATATATATATATATGTATATATCGAGCTGGTTGAAATAGGCTAAACCCACATGAGGTCATGTATTTTTTGCTTTTTAATATATATATGATCTTTTATAATAAATACATTAAGCTCTCTTTGTGAATCAGTTAAATATTTGATATTACTAGGATTCACCTGAATTATATACCAACGGAACTATAACCTGTACTATATATATATATATATATATATATATATATATATATATATATATATATATGCTTAAATGTCAAAGTTAATATTTGGTTATATGTTGGCACAAGCATTATTTTCTTTTTTCTTATTTATTTGTTTGTTTTGTTTTCTAAAAATTATTTATAATTCTTCCTCTAAGCATAGTTTACACATTTTGTTACTAACGCTATATGGAGGTGCCTTTTATAATTTCCACTTTGAGTTTGGTTGGAACATTGTTTAATTTTTTTGTGTCTATGTTTTTTTTACATGGCTGTGCTGTCAAAGGATATGTTGTGGTTATAATATATTTTCTAGGATTTTTTTTGTCTGTGTTAGTATTATTATTTATAGTAGCTTTTTATATTATGTTATTAGTTAAGCATTTGTTATAAAGTGGGCAATTTTCATTGTTTCTGCAGTTATATTTGATGATATAATACTGTTGGTTGATATTACTATTATTACTGTTATTGAATTTGTTGAGTATTTTTTTATTATACTAGATTACTATTTTTCGATGTTATCCATGCAGCTGTAACTGATTTTCATTGTATTTTCTATTGATAAGTTTTGATAACATACTGGCTTTAAGGAAATGTTTTTCAAATATTTTGAAGAATATTTTGTCTTAATTTTTTAATAGTAACAAAAACACAGCAGTTGCCTTTTCTTAGAAAAAAATTATCATTTCCATCTATTATTACTAATAAACTTTTGTATGACACTATATATATATATATATATATATATATATATATATATGATAAAAAATACAGTTTAAGTTTTGCTATATTTATGGGTTAAAGAGCTCTATATCAGAGATAGATAAATCTTTAGGCATGAAAATTGCGTTTAAGCCTGAAAAATCTGCTGCAGCTGTATGCTGACCTCAATTTTCCCTTATATATATATATATATATATATATATATATATATAATTTTTATTTCAAGAATAATAAAGTATGAATAATTTTCTCATTAAAAAGTAATAATTTTATTGACATATATATATATATATATATGTGTGTGTGTGTGTGTGTGTGTGTGTGTGTGTGTGTGTGTGTGTGTGTGTGTGTGTTATAACGTGCCTATGAACAAGAATCTATGTCTCAATCCTCTCATAAATACGTTGGACATTATTGTAAGTGGAGGTAATATGGTGTCTCAGTAGTCAACCACTAGCAGTGGCTTACCTACTTCACGCCGCTGGCGAGTACTGTATTTTGTTGATGTTATAAAGATTACCATTTCATTTCCAACCTCTGTTTTGGTTATTTCTTATTAAATAAACCTTTCTAGGTTATAACGAAAAATATATATATATATATATATATATATATATATATATCTTTAAGCGTTTCACTCCAAGCAATGCGGGAATCCACTAGCATGCAAGGGGTTACAGAGTGTTGGAGCTAGAGCAAATTGGATTGATAGAGGAAAGGATGAAGAGAAGGATAGGGGATAGATCAAGGTATCTGGAGACGTCGATTGACATTACATTTGAATAGTTGGAGATTATAGCCATCAGTGAAACAGGAAAAGGGGAGCTAGTTCCACAGGCGAGAAGTGCGAGACATGAAGCTATTGGAGCAGAAGAGACGGCTATATTTAACAGTTTCAACAGTGAAAGGGGTGTAAGCAAGATGTCAACCTAGTAGAACGCTTAAATTCATGAAGTCTGGGAACCAGCGAAAGCAACTCATCGGAGCAGTTACCATGAAAGTATTTCTAAAAATGACAGAGAGAAGCGTGTGTGTATGTGTATGTGTGTGTGTGGATATATATATATATATATATATATATATATATATATATATATATATAATTTCAATTAAAAAGGTGCAAATATAATTTATAAATTCATGAATCATTCATACAAAAAACAAATATAGATGTTAATGATTTAAATGGCGAGAATACATCGTCGCAAACAATATAAATAAGATACATCAACCCCGAACCTGTATATGAATGAATTTATAAACGGGGATCATATCATTCATATACAGGTTCGGGGCTGATGTATCTTATTTATATAGATATATAGTTTACGACGATGTATTCTCGCCATTTAAATAATTAACCTCCGTATTTGTTTTTTTGTATGAATGATTCATGAATTTTTATATATATATATATATATATATATATATATATATATATATGTGTGTGTGTGTGTGTGTGTGTGTGTGTGTGTGTGTGTGTGTGCGCGCGCTCACTGGATCTATTTTGCGGGAAACTGGTGGTTTGTTTTTAGAGAATCACCATCCTCATCTTTATTAATCCCACGGCTGAGTGTAGTCGTAAGTTTAAAATTTCACTCCACATATATGAGCTGAAAACCTAAGAGATATTAATTCCAGCGTAAAACGTATCCAGTGCGTGTAGGTATCCACGGAACTGAAGGGTCGCCTTGATCAGGAACACGTGGCTGATCCTTCCACCGAGTTGCCCACCCGTTCTAGTCGTTTGACTTCGGTCTAGAAAGCCCTCAAATCGGCGATCCGGTATCATCTTACTTTTTACATAACTGTTGTGGTACGATCCACCTAATTTACATAGTAGGGTACCGACCATATAAATATGGTTGGTACCGGGAAGACGGGGGAGGAAGAAGAGATCCAATCCAGAGACTCTGCCCGATTGCGACTAAGTCAACCCATTCTACAGGAACGGTCTTCCCAAGAATATACCAAAACTATCTGTAAATATTGTGTACACTTTCTTGTTTCAATACATTTTGTTTAAGTACATTTTGTGTTGTATTATTATTATTCCATGCCTTATTCAAGTTTCAACAATAACTATGGAGTCTATTCGATTGTCTTACCGGACATCTAAGACAATCTCATATAAGACTTCTCATACGCAATTTGTGTATCTGTTTTTATTTTATTTTCTGGTAGGTGGACCTGCAGTTGTAGGTGGTACTGTATTATATGATAGCAGTTACACAGGATAAACCCCTTATTACCTGTCGTATGAGGGGGCTTAAAGAACCCGTTTACCTAGAAAATTAGCATTCAGTGGCTTGAATTTACCCTGTTTTATGGACCCCTGTCGTAGACACCGACGGGGAATTTGTAATCATTTCAACCACAATGAAAAATATTTCGATGTCTTCACTTGTGTGTCGAAAAAGATAATTAGTACGGAAAATAATCGACAACATTTCACAAAGCGGATGACATTAGCCTAAGGCCCAAAAATGATTTCTAATTTCCTCTTCTATGTGTTCGCCAATATTGTTTAATGGGGACTTTGAAGACGTCCAGAAAGAGACTGTTACGTTTGATAAAATAAAGAAACGGGTGTTTGTTTCTTACTCTCTCTCTCGCTTTCTCTATCTCTCTCCCTATTTGTCTCTGTATTTATCTGTCTCTTTTTTTTCTCCTCTCTTTATCTTACTTTGTTTTCTTCATTACGTAACTCTCCTCTTTTCTTTCCTTTGGTTTTCTATTTCTATCCGTTTCTCAATCCTATTTTTGTCTTTCCTTTTCCGTCTGTCTGTCAGTCTGTCTGTCTATACTTATTTGGCTCTTAATTTCTCTCTCTGTTATATTTAATTTTTTTGTGAAAGAATTCTTTTTAATTCCTTTATTTTTCGGATCATTTTGCCTGGTTTCTGGTAAATATCTAAGCTTTTGTAGATAGATAGATTCATACAAGGATACGTCAATAGACAAAAGAAACTGGGATAGGAATGGACTTTGATAGATAGATAGATAGATAGATAGATAGATAGTGTCATGGGTCCTTACCTATAATTACAGAATTACCTCTTCCTAACACTATGTATACTACGCCTCTCAAGAGAGAGGGTCAAATCGAGTCGAACCTATTGTAGTTCACTCCAAACCAGACTGACAGTCATACTAACACCTTCCACATCTTATATTATTATTTCGTGTAATATACCTTCGTTATTTCTACTCTTGTGTTCTTGTTGTTCTTCCTTGGTCCTAACCTGGACCAGAACAGATAGATAGATAGATAGATAGATAGATAGATAGACACGAAAAACAGAGAGAGAGAGAGAGACGAAGAGAGAGATAGATAGATAGATAGATAGATAGATATACAGATATGAAGAAATGGATAGATACGAAAAGAGAGAGAGATACGAATAGATAGATAGATAGATAGATAGATAGATAGATAGATAGATAGATAGATAAATAGATAGATAGATAGATAGATAGATAGATACAGACACACCGATAGATACATAGATACATATATAGAAATGAAGAAATAGATAGATACGAAAAGAGAGAGAGAGATACGAAGAGATAGATAGATAGATAGATAGATAGATAGATATACACAGACATACGGATAGATACATAGATAGATATATAGATATGAAGAAATAGATACGAAAAGAGATAGATAGATAGATAGATAGGAAGATGCTGAGACATATAGTAACCTCTAGATTATTTCCGTAATAAAATCTGTTGGAACTGACCATATCTGTTTGTATTTATCGGTTTTAAATTTAATTTTGTTGTTTTGATAAAGAATAAAAGTCGGCATTCGATCAGCCAGGAATTTTGTAAAATTTGATTTTCCGTCGTGTACAAAAAAAAATTTAAAAAAATCAATAACAGTCACTGTCTGGCAAATCTTTCTTCTGTGCACTAGGCTTACCCCGCTGTTATTCTTTGAAGATTGATATTAAAACGGAGTGCGGAAAACTTAGCGGTCCAAACCAAAAAACAGATTCCTGAAAATAAATTCTGGTGACTGCGCATTTTAATTTACGAATTTTCGTTCGTTTCCCTCAGTTCTTATAAGCAATTTCTATCCCGGTCGATATCCACCACACACTACTCATTCAGATTTTTATTTATTCGGGTCCTTGCAAAATAATCTCAATGGTATTTTTTTTTTCAATTTCTTTGGATGTCATAAAAACACCTTAATGAATTATCTGCTGAGAAGCCATCGACATTCTGGGAAGATGGAATCTTTAAGTTGAAGGAAAAATGGAGAAAATGTTGTGTAAAGAAATGATTCATATTTAGTTGAATAAATATTCATTGGCATAATTTTTTAATTTTTGTGTTTTAATTTCCCTTAAAAATCAGAATGAACTTCCCGGACCACGCAATATATATATATATATATATATATATATATATATATATATATATATATATATATATATATTAAATAAAAAACAGACCACTTTAAGGTTCCATGTAATAAATTATTTTACCACAGCCCTTTTATTTAAATTATTTCCTCTGGATTTACATTGAGCTCTCTGGTTAACCCATATGGATTACCTAGTTTTTCATAAATAATATATATATATATATATATATATATATATATATATATATATATATAAGTAACGGAAAACTTGGTAATCCGTATGGGAAAATCCTAAGGAGGATGAAATCGTGAGATCTCAATGTAAATTCAGAGCTAATAATTAAAAAAAAAACAGAACTACTTTAAGGCGCACAAAAAAGATTTTTATCCACGGAAATAAAACAGATTTGAACAAAATGGACGTCATATTACAAGGTGCCTTAGGTGCAGTATGACGTCCAAAGCTCTCTCTCTCTCTCTCCCCTATATATATATATATATATATATATATATATATATATATATATATGTTAAGTGCATTATGTGGTGGTTTGATTATTTCTACATGCTGACTATTATGAGCAGCGCAGTTTATTTCCGGTTTATTGTATTATATTTATATTAAATTTGAATTTCTTGTTGTAGGCTTGTGTCGTTTGACTTATTTTTCATGATATTTTGGGTGTATTTTCTTTTTTGATTTTCAATATATGTTTAGAAATGGTTGTGTTATCCGTGTATTTGCTAGTGGTACAGAATGTTTTGTGTGCGTAGTTTCTTTGTTTCCAGTTTCCTTCAGTTACTCATCAGTATAGTTTTGCTTCATCATCTGCAGATTTTACAGTGACTTCCTATATTACATTCTTTTGCAAGCAATTGTCATTTAAAGGACATGCATACTTTGCTCTGGAGTTACATTTAAGATTGTTTTGTGCGGGTGATTTGATAGTATTTTTCTATTATGCTTTTCTGGCTTCGTTGAAGGATTTTTTTTTATCAGACATTCTTTATTTGGTGTATACAAGTGTTTTCTATTTAACAATGTCTAATATCTTCTGGCCTAGAGATCAACAGTGTTCTTAAGATAAGCGTCAAGATGCACATTTTCTTTTATATATGATATAATATATATATATATATATATATATATATATATATATATATATATAAGTGAACATAGAAGTCAACACTTAGAGGCGACAGTTTTTTCATGCCAGATTCAATCGTCAGACCACCACAGCCTGACTGTCGCCTCTAAGTGTTGACTTCTATGTTCACTTTTATCTTTACACACGCTCTATCTCTGATATTGAACACTTTATCCCATAAATATAGCACATCATAAGACTATATTTGTATATATATATATATATATATATATATATATATATATATATATATATAGTCAAACCTAGTGAGCCAGACAAACCTACCCAGGTTTCACCGAAGTGGATCGTCAGTGAAAACTGGTTAAAGAGGCAAAAGAGAAACGGCATATTTATAAGCGACAATCAAAACTATACCACGTGATCAAAGAAAAAAAAGAATAGAAAAACAAGACAAGAAAAGAAAAAAAAACACAACACCGGGGGTGGGGGGTTAGGATTTATTCAAACGACTAAAAGGGGAGGGGATATTTTAAGAAAACACGGACAATAAAGGTGGAATAACAATACAATCAGGGGAGATTAGACCTAATTCAATAACCAAGATTTTCTATGCCTACATTTGTTAAGAATCTCGGTTTTAGAGTTTAACATATCGTTAGGTTCCTTATATAAAGCTATGGCTAATTTCTCCTCTGTACATAGCTTACAGAATTTTTAACCTGCTTTATATTTGGGACATCTTTTTAATATTTCCCATTTAAGGATGGGATCTTTATTATTTTCTTGTCAAATTTTCCATACATAGGTGGATAGTGTGGTGCTATGTTTAGTTTTTTCATTTTTAAAACTACTCGTATGATTATAATATCTCTTTTTAAATACATCCTGAGTCGCTCCGATATACACTTTAGTGTTTGTATCTTCCATATCCTTATAAATTTTCGACTGGTAAACCACGCATTTTTTTAAAACCTTTTTTTCCTTCGACATTGATTTGATTATTGGCAAATCAAAAATTCGAAGGTTTTTCGATACGAGTATCTTCTATATATATATATATATATATATATATATATATATATATATATATATATGGATATATATAATATATATATATGAATGCATAATAAATATATATGACATAAAAAATTTAAGATATTTTAATTTTATTTCACCTGTTGATATTAATTCTACGGATGGTTACTGAAACACGTCTACCTATTGTAACCCGGATATAAGAGAGTTGTCGGGACCGGAGAAGAAGTCTCTTATATCCGGGTTTCTCTTATATCCGGGTCTCTTATACACGGGTTACACTGTACATATTTTATAGTAATATTTAGAAATGCAATAAATTCATTTACTTTGATGGAAAATGCGACGCCGAAATCAGAAGAAACTTTGTGATAGCGAAAAGGCTTTCAGAAAGCTAAGCAAAGTATTAAGAAACAGGAAAACTTTGTTAGAAACAAAGAAAAGTGTACGAAATGAAGAAGTGACTTGATGCAACAGAAATGTGGATCTACAGAAGGATGATGAGAATCCCATGGACTGAACATGTGAGCAGTGAGGAAATTTTAGGGAATTCGGCAATAAACAAGACGCCTATACTTAGCATCGGAAAGGGACAATTTACATTTCTAGGATACATAATGAGGAAGGAGAGTCCGGAGAATTTGACACTCACAAGACGTGTCGAAGGCAAGTTAGACAAAGGAAAAAAAGTGAATAAGCTGCCTAACGAGCTTGTGTAACTGGATATATAAAGGGATTAGGAGAAATAGCAAAAAGATAAACCTTACTAATAGATACACAGGAGAGGAAATTGTGGAGGGCTGTGATCATGCACGTCCAGAAAGGACACGGCACATAAAATATCCTTGTTCTTTTGCTGGAATTCTGACACTGTGCGTACGTATATACATGTATATATTGTTTCCTCAGTCCACCTAAGTTTCTTTTTGTGTTCGTTAGTGTGTGTATGATAGCCGCCCAAATACACAACTGTGTGAGTATATATATATATATATATATATATATATAATTATTTTATAAAAAATTTATAACATAAGTATGTTATAAAATCACTACTAAAAATAGCCATTTTGTTTCAACACACTCTGTGTCTTATCAAGTGATGGTGTTGAAAAGAAAATAAATGGTTTTAAAAGTTTCAGATTAATTAACGATCCTACACTAGGGGGAGCATTGTTACAAAAGCCCTATATATATATATATAGATAGATAGATAGATAGATAGATAGATAGATAGATATAAACGCATATATATATAATTTATTCAAAAATTATAACATAAATATGTTATAAAATCACTACAAAAATACCCATTTTCTTTCAACACTTTCGGTGTCTTATCAAGTACTCGTGTTGAATGTAGAATATATATATATATATATCATAAGAAAGCTTTATATATATATATGATAAAAGCTTATTAGGAGTACTTTGGAAGTTGTTTTTAATATATAAGAACAGTAAGATATATATAATCCGGTGTTCTTATAGATATTTTTATTTTTACAAAATAGGGCTCAATGTAAACTTACAGAGCATTAATATTATAAATTAATTGAAAATTAGGCCAAAAAAACATATTTAATTAACTTATAATATATATATATATTAACTTATAATATATATATATATCAATTAATTTATATATATATATATATATATATATATATATATATATATATATATATATATAGGCGACAATCCTTCTTTTATGCATGTTTCATTAAAAACGACAGACAAGGTACCACGGTTAGGCTTTTTATTTAATTTTTCTTGTGTTCGAACAAAACCTTTCTTTTTTGGACAAAGAGAGTGTAAAAACTGTCCAAATATTTTATACAGTGTAACCCGGATATAAGAGACCCGGATATAAGAGAAACCCGGGTATAAGAGAGATTTTCTGTAGTCCCAAATTAGAGTCCATACTTACCTAAACAAAATAGACCAAACCCGGATATAAGAGAAACCCGGATATAAGAGACTTCTTCTCCGGTCCCGACAATTCTCTTATATCCGGGTTACACTGTAGTTCCGAGCGCTTTCGGCTATACCTTTAGCCATTATCAAAGATGATTCAATTTTTCCGTTAAATTAATTGTGTGCATTAAGTGTATGTTTTAGTGTGTTATAGAGATGTTTTAATTTCCGAATACGGTTAGCACATTGTGGCCTTGTTC